TACACTGTACTCACGGCAAAACATTCAATTATTCCACTTTAAGGGAGCCCACTTGGCTTAGCTAAGTTCCGCCAAATCTCTTCAGCCATTTCTCCTAACGGGACTTGTCCCATCAAACAAAACTTCACACCAAGTAAATCAGTGAGTTGTTTCCAAAGTGCACCATGGCTACAGCAGAGAACCTGGATGCATCTGTGTCCCATCTGGACATATTTCTCTGGAATATTTCCGTGTGATCAGAATGCCATTCTAAAGGAAGGTGGTGAGTACATACATAAACTGCATTCCCAACCCCCAGTGCAACAACAACAAATTTTTCTTAATAACAAAAATATTACAAGTAACGTTTCTTTTCCAAAATGGACTAATGGTAAGTTTGAAATAGCTTGTTAGAATCCACTTGTGATTTGTTTATCCCCATTGTGTGAATCCTCAAAGTTTCATGTTTTATAGCAATATTGTGGTTCTTTCTTTCCTTTCTGAGCCCTCTGCATAACCTTCCTATCAAGTCCTTAGAGGGAAAAGAGAAAATAGGGCAATACCTCCATTACTGGAATAAAGGTGACTGTTATCAGGTTAAAGGCACAGAATGTGTAAGGGCAAATTGTGGCAGAAAAAAAAGCCACTCAAGTACAGTGCAATTATGTCATGTGTATAAACGCTTGAGAGCTGGTTCCCAGCTACCAGAACCCAGACCCCCTTCCTCCCCACCAGAACCAGTGTGGGCTCTTGCCCACACATACTCCACACCTGCCTCGATGGACGTCTCTGGACAGGTAACTCTTGGGAAGACCCAAGAGGTCTTCCTTAGTGCAGCTCCTATTACCCAGTGCAGTGGGTTTAGCCATCAAGCATTTGCTATTTACAGAATGAAGAAATTAGCACACACATTGTGAGCTGAACCCCTTCAGCTCCATTAAAAGGGACCCCAGGCAGGGCACTACAGTCACTCACTAGAGTACAGCAGGCTACCACCAGTACATTCCTGAGAGGCTCAAAGCATCAAAACACCAGAAGGGAACAAAAGGAGAAAGAAAGAAAACCTGAGATGGAAGGGAAGGGAGCCACAGGGAGAGGCAGCTAACTAGGAAAAGGGAGAAATGGGAAAGATCAACTAGGGCTCAAACAATGTTTATGAACTACTTGCCACAATCCATGCGTATTAACTCCATTAGTCCTTTCAATGCTAGTTTTGAAAGTACTATTTTGTGCTTGCAGATGGGCAGGCTTCCAGTAAGAGAAGTTAAACAACTTGCCAAGAAGCACACAGCTAGTAACTGGCAGTCAAGTTCCAAACTTGGAGAATCCAACTCCCGAATTTAAAAGCCTGGACCACATGAGCCAAAATATATCCCACAGACTATACTACCTTTCAGTGAAACCATAAAAATAAAAACAGATGATCAAAGGCAAAGTTGCAAAATGGTACGTTCAGTGAGCCCTTTACTGAAAGATTCCTCAGAGCTTTTTTTTAACACTGTTAATAACATTGTGAATCTCCTACAGAAGACCAGAGTGCATGTATGCCCAATACTTATTTGGCAAGGGGTTGTTTTCTTTGGGAAGCAGCTACTGGACCAGGTCCCGCTCGGAAAAGCACTAATATATACGTTTGCAGGGCCCTCAGAGGGAAGGGGCTTCTACAGGGCAAAGGAGCAGGGGCACTGGAAGCTCTAAAATCACTGTGGAGCTCTGCACCTTAGCCAGCCTCCTGCAAGGCCAATTGTGGGCTTCCACTTCCCCTGCCTATGGAAGACAAGAAGCCTGTCTGCCTCTGCCCGGAGCTCCTGCTCACAGTGCACCTTAACCAGCTCTCTCTACAGGATGTCTTTGTCTGCAGACATCACAAAGAAATTTCTGGCCTGAATAATTGTTCTCTTTAGTTCTGATCTCTTGTCCATCCCTTTTGTGAGCATATATGGCATTGAATCATTAGAAGAAAAAAACAGTATGCTTCTTTGCCTTAACCTCACAAAGACCTCCTCTGGAAAAACTGAGGTTGATGGCTGCTATTTTACACTGAGCAACATTAATAATTTGCTTAGCAATAAACCAGTTTGAGGGTGCCAGGTGAGGCACGTTTCTTCCAACTGCCCTGGAATCAATTATATGACATTAGGTGCTAGATCCAGGCAGCCCTTTTGTTCAAAGCTCAGTAAATAATTTCAGGCAGAGACCAATTACAGCTCAATAACTATTTCTTGAATACTCTGAGTTTCCTAACTATTACACCAAAATCAGAAGCTATAGGGGCATTTCAGAGGTCAACCTGAGTCCTATAGTTAAAAAGATCATTGAGCAAGTACATTTGTGGGCTCTTAATCATAGCTATTAAGTCACCAAACATAATCTTTAAAAATATAGCCTCATGATGTCACTATCCTTGCTCAAGAACTTCCTATGGCTCCCCACTGCCAAGAAAAAAATTGTAGAATCATATGGAATGCTCTTCATAACCTGCCCCAAAGCACTTCATAATTACACTCTACTAGAATTCCCACGCTGGGCTTTCCTTCACTTTCAGTCCTCTTACATCTCAAGCCCAGTCCCTATCACCTCCATCATGAAGCCACTCCAACCCCATCCCAGTCCATATTTGTCTGAATTTCTGAAAATTCTTTTCAGCAAGTTCTGTTTCTACAAAGCATACGTTTTCCCCCACTGCCCACCTTAACTACATTTCATTCTTTCAGCTTAGGAAAGAAAACGACTTCTCCCTGCTGCTGACAATTTCCACAAGAGCTCAGCCATTCTCCTAGTTTCTGGAAGATGAAATGCTGCACATCTCCATTGGCTGTGGTTTATGTTTCACCAAGCCGTGTCAAAGCTGATATAGTAACCTCCAATTTTTATTGAGCAGCACACAGTGTAACTGATGACGTCTGCTGAGGCTGGTATTTTAAGTGAAAGCTATTCTCAGCTCTGCCTGCTCTCCCCACAGCTTTGTGTATAAATAGGCAATAGCAGTGACACCTGAGCTGCGAAGTGGGGACACTCAGCACCAGCCCTCAATTATAGCCCATGAAGTCATGAGGTTTCTGGGGCAATTCATGTGAGCAAATCCAGTTTTCAAATGTGCAAAGTGGGAAAAACAGATGGCAGGGTGGGACTCTGCTAAATACACTCCCAAGGGAGAAAAATCTTCATCTGCATTTTTACCTATGTAGATCTAAATACCATTTGCGGTTTGGTGGTAAATATTTCAGTGCAACTCCAAAACCAAGGGTAATAATCATGTATACCCCGCAAATAGCAACTTACACCCACTTCCATGTATTCCTTCCTCTAACATACAGTACTAAAAATAAAAATGTCTTCCCTTGGTCAAGTTTTTGTATTTGTTTGCAAGCCTTGTAGAAGAATAAATCTGACAGCTATTTGATTCTTGTAGCACAAGAACCTATTTCTGGTTCTTAGCTAAGAAATATCAGTTCACTGTAACTATCAGTTGAATTGCCTTCCCGAAGCCAAAGCCTCCTAGGATGTCTGCAGATGGGCTTGTCAGGCACAGATAGCAGGCTGGAGGCTCTGCGTGTAAGCGTATTCTTCCTGCGTGAAGTTTTATCCCCTAAAACATTTTTAAAATTTTGAACATTTTCATAGGAATTTCCTAACCTAAATTACTAATGCTTCCTGTACTTCAATGTAAATTACTGTGATGATTCAGTCATTGTTGGATCAATACAGCAGTGAGGCCCAAGAAAGCTCACACATGTGCAGCCCAGAGAGAACCTTCCAATGCGAGCTTTCCCGCATATACTGCCCCTCCAGAGTCCCCTGCTTGTCCACTGCATGCTTCTGCATTCACCCACACCTGCTCCATACCCATTAACATATCCCCCTGCAATTGCTGACTGACTTATCTCCCTGCTTCCCACTCTGAACTCCTCTATGGTGGCTACCAGCTTTTTTACCCTCTCCTCGGTACTTGGCTTGGTACTTGTGAAAACAGTGGTAGCTCAATAAATGTTTGAGAATGCAGGAACGAATAAGCAAAATGTTACACTACTTAGAGGCATAAGATAAATGCACATGTGAAAAACTTAATACCAAGTTTGCTGATAAGAAAACCAGAGTCCATACGGAATGACCCATTTAAGTGACAAAGCTGAAGGAGGCATTCCATGCGACATTACAGGTCAATGCCTCCCTCTCAGTTGGCTGCCACAGTCACATGGAATACTTAACACTTGGAACTGAAGCTGATTCTGAGAAGCATATGCACTTTGAGACATGTAGGCAGTATTTTTCCTCAGAGTTTTGGAATTAATTACATATGTGGACTTCATGTACAATCTACCATCATTTTCAACAGCAAGGTCTGAGCCAAGAGAAGGTCCTCACGGGACAATGGGAAGAAAAGCAGGATTCATAGCAGGTCCTCACTGTATCTTAAATAACTCACACAAGGACACAGTTAGTGATTTACAACAGCCTTCCTGAGTCTACGCTTGCTGCGCTGGGTTGAAAAAGCCTTCTGAGAACCAGGCTTAACCCCAAATGGTCAGTGAGCCAATACTGAAACAAACATATTTAATAACCATGAAGAAGGTTTTTTTCAAACCAACCAATAAAACATCATTGCCCTTAAAAATATCCCAGGATTAACCTTTATTTTTCGAAAAAAAGCTTTCATTTTTATGGTTCATGTGGTCTGGGAACAATTCTAGACACAGTATGTTCTGTGAATAAAAACACTGGATTCAGTGCTGGGATTCACCAGGTTAGTCTGATAAACATTTCACTATTTTTTAAGCAAAATCAATAATTGTACTGGTCAATTCAATTTAAAAAGTGTTTAAATCTGTCCTAGACATAACCTCAGACAAAATCAATTTTATAAAATAATTTCTACTACTCCACTCAATTCAGTCCCCAGAGTCAATAAAATAGGACACAGCTAGTGGGCTTTTCTGGGAGAATTATCTTGGAACACAAGGAAGAAAACATGAGACAGCAGTTCCCTTGGACGACACAGAAAGAAATGCTACATCCTTTACCTTGGTCAAAGGGCTTGTTGGGATTCCAGTTTCTGAAATAGTCATCCTACAAAAGGAGAAAACATAAAACAAAGGTCAGATTTCAGGAAGCTTCTCACAAAACCATATAAAAACTTGTCTTTCGTCCTATCTCCCAAAACACAAAGGAAAATATTTGCCTTAGAAATCTTTCCTCACGCAGGTACTAACATGCAATCAAACATCTCTATTTACTTTTCAAATTCTTGTCATTCAAACTGTACTTATTAAACATTGGAAACAGTACAAACATTTCACCCCTATACGAAAGTGCATTGTGTTTCTTGGTTTGACACGGAAACCCAGACACCTTCAGAGTGAGTGCGACATGTTTGCCATCAATTGTACTTGAGGTGATGCCTGGCTGCTTTCACCTATGATTAAAGCCTCTTTGTTTGTAACAGCTGATAATTCAACTGTCAACATTTCTTTTATATGGAGACATGTATCTTGTGGTGCACAGTTCCAGTTTTCCAACACTCACAAAACATAAAAACAAGAGGGCCATTCAAATGTTAGAAATAACGACTGCCATACGTTTAGCTTTAAGTCAGTGCTCTGTGTATTCAGAAGGATGGAAAAACAAAGGCCTGCCAGCCTGTACTATTCGTTGCCCTGTCTTTCCCGCATGCACTGTGCATCAGTTGATGATCTGAGGCTGGGGTATTCATTACCTTGCAATTGCCTAGACTACCGCATCATAGTTATATTAACTTCTTCCCTTCTAACTGCCCATCCTTCCAAACCTCCACTGTCTGCTTATTTGATCCTCCCCCTGTGCACGCATCAGTCCCTCTGGTCTCTGACACACACCCACTGTCAGAAAAACCGAGCAATTTGCCAGTGGAAGAGGTGTCTGTCATTCCTGAATGTCATCCCCACACCTGTAGGGTATTGGCCTCTTTTTAGTTAATGTCCAGTTTATAGAATGTGAGGGTTTGGGCTAGAAACTCAGCATGATGCAGACATTTTCACAAAACTGGACTTCTCTTTCTCTTCTGGAGAAGTTAATGTATATCAAAGTACACAATTAGTTTAAATTACTGTCCATGCTGTCTCTTGCTGCAGTTTATCTCCAGCAAAATCTCCTGTGAATTTTATCCGTCCCTGTGTTGTTCAATTACCTGGCTTTATTAGATCCTGGTTAGTTCACCTAAGCCCTTAAATAGATTTTAGGAAGCTGAATTTAGAGTAAAATCAGAACATATTGCTTCTTGGCCAGTGATTTTCATTTTCCAGAGCATGAATAAACATGAACAGGTTCCTCTGGATCCTAGAGATTCAGCATTAAGCTATTTTTAACTCCAAGGAATTGGCCCACTTTGCTCTGGCCTTAATTTTATGGCCTTACTAGCTTTATACCCAACTGGTTAGGGAGCCTTTGGTATCCACACCAAGAAATACCACTGAGAAAGTTTCAATCTTTTCACAACATCTCTCTCCATTTATTATTTTCAAGATAATCTAAATGTTTTGGAATTGTGCTGTCCAAAACTAGGCAACCAGTGTTACATGACTGAGGTAAGGGGTTGGATGATATGTAGGAAATTTAGCACTTGATTTCTCAGTTTGATGGCCAGTATAACCTTAGCCTTATTCAACTGTATCACCTAGTGAATCTGTTATTATAAACAAGGGTAAGAAGATGAATAACCAAAGACGAACTCACTGTCACCACTAGAGGAGAAAAGTAACAAACAGTGCATGCATCCTTCTCACTGAGGTTCATCAATGCTCTCTCCTCATACAGAGGACAGCATTGTGTCCACTGGCCATGTGGGATCTTGTAAAATAATTTCTACTTCTACATGCTACTCTAGGTCATGGAAGCCCTTGGAAGTTTAAGATGTGTGTCCAACAGGAAAGGACTGGAGCCTAAGACAAGTCCCTTTCCTTTAATTTCCCCTGCCACATTCTCTCTGATGTCAAAGAAAGGTTTTAATAAGTCTCAAGAATGGTCTATTCCCTAATGATTTCAACATATTTCATAACTTGGATGGAATGTGAAGCATTATTCTAGAACTTGTCACTTTTCCAGGTTAACTATAATTATCATTTTTACATATTTCTTGGGGAAAATCACAGTTTTAAGTATAAGGCCTCTAAATGCAGGTATGTCCATTAGAATATTTAAAACTCATTGCAAATGTAATAACAGTGCCTAATTACTGCAAAATGTGAAAGTACACCTTCAGTGAAAATTTATTATGCAACATAAGTCCTTCAAACAGCCCCTTGACTAGCAAGGCCAAGTAGAGACAGAAAATTATTCCCTGTATCTGACTGCTTCTACCCTGCCTTTGGAAAGTAGACTGTCAAAGCAAAAACCAACAAGCTAAGAGTTGATAAAACCTTTGTTATTGCTTTGGCTATAGCTGATAGAACTCCCCCCAGTAGGGACCAAGACCCTGAGTGTGTGTGAAGTACTCTACACAGCACCCCGGGGATGAGTAATAAACACCAGGGAACAGGAGAAGAGTTCTCATGAGTACTGTGCCACATTTATTAGCCATACAGTAAGTTCATGTAGGCTGGGGCTGCCTTGATTAATTCACTCATGTCTAGGAGGATTTCTGGTGAGGCAGCATCAGAATTCATGTGCAAAAAAACAAAGATAAAAGAACACCTGGTGCAGAACTTCACCTGCTGAGGATTTTCTCTTCCTTGTGTCCCACTGCACAATCAGGATCCTTGAGGAACACAAGAACAACTACCTGTAGCCCTGAACCAACACTCTACCAATGCCAAAGCTCTTCACTTCTCTAGGGTCCAAGAACCAAGTGCCGCTAGCTAAGCCTTTCTTTTGTCTCCCTTTCTATCTGAATAGAAACATACAGAATACCTGTTCTGTCGTCAATACTCTAAGTCCCCACTCTAGGAAGCAGCATGCCTGCTCCCCTCCCCTAAAGCTCAGTTACATGTAATTGTGTTCCTGCTGCACAGACTTCACAGTTCTGTCCAGATGCCAGCAAAGTTCAGGACTTTCAGAGCCTATGTCTGATCTTGTTCTGACCCAAGAAAGTTGCAGTCTGTTGAAATTGAGAATGTGGTGAAAGGCAAATAGGACAGATGAAACTTTACAGGTAAGTATCTCAGTTGGCCTCTTAATTTGTAATTTTATCTAAAAATATAGCTTTAAACAAAAGAGCTGCAAATACCACAATAATTTTAAATGTAAACCAGACCAGAAAGATGCATATCTAAATGTAGTCATTTATTAAATTCAATAACTCCCATTAATGCATTTCACAGGTTGAGCATTGAAGGATGGCAACGTTACCGCACATGTATATTTTATGGACTATGCTGCAGACCGTAATTATGCCAGGACTCTTACAAGGCAGCACAAAGAACCGTCTTGCTCTAACTTCTAGCTAACCCATATGATGAAAGGCTGATTCCATTTCCCTATACAATGTCCTGAGTAAAATTTACCCATGTCTATTTTAGGAGCTGTTAAAAATCTGGAAGAAACAATCAATTTGGGGGCTGGGGATTTAGCTCAGCGGCAAAAGTGCCTGCCTGGCAAGCGCAAGGTCATGAGTTCGGTTCCCGGTACCAGAGAAAAACCAAAAAAAAAAAGCAACAATCAATTTGAACAGTGACTCAAACTCGAGCATACTGACTGATGTTTGAAATGAAGTATTCCAGGACAGCAGAAAACATCCTGAAAGTCACCATAAAGACCAGCATAAGATAGGGATGAATCATTATGTGTCCAAGATGAGAAAAAACGGACAGATATAGTACTGGTGGCAGAGTAAAATCGGATACTGGTAGTGACTATGTCTATCATTTTTTTATCCTCTAAAGCTCATCACAGATGAAACCATATTTCTCCATTTATCTAAATATCCCACTAACACAGTACTGAATCCTGTAAAAACTTTTTTGTCTCCCAGCATCTGGTGCAAAGGAATTAACTCTGGGTTTAACTACTATAGTGAGAAAAATCTGTACTGGTCAGCATCAATTGGAAAGAAAATCTGGATGGATGCGTGAGTGGATCAGTGGGTAGGTGGAAGGAAGGAAGGAAGGAAGGAAAGACAGCAAAAGATAGAGGCAGCCATATATCACATATATAATACACATTAGCGAAGATGTATCAATATGTAATAATAATACTGTAAAACATTTGAAAAAAATGTCAGTATTGAATACAGACTTTTTTCCTTGTAATTATTTCCTAAATACTATGTTGTAACAATTATTTATAAAACATGTACAATTTATTAGGTATTATGAGGAATCCAGAGATGATTCAAAGCACATGGGACTGTGTAACTAGGTTCTGTGCAAATATTATGCCACTGTGTATAAGGAATTTGAGTATCCATGGGTTTTGGTACCCTTAGGAGTCTCCCACAAATATTAAGGATGATTATCCATACGAAAAGCATTGTGGGCATGGAGCAAACCTGTAATTCCACATCCTGGGAGACTGAGGGAGTAAGATCATAAGTTCAAGCCTAGAGTAACTTACCAACTTACCAAAACCTTGTCTCAAAATTTAAGAAAATATTAAAAATGGGCTGGGCACACAGCTCAGTTCAAAGGCTTTGGATTCAATACCCAGCACCGCCCCCCCCCACACACACACTTATAACCCAACCTTCAATGAAATCTTTAAGTCCACTTAATATGAAATGATGCCAAAGTATTCCTCTTACAATGTGGGTGATGAAGCCCCTTCACTGTGGGTGATGAAGCCCCTTCATGTGAGCCTGATCATTAAGAAAGTCTATGATCCCAGCTCATTTTCAATAGGAACATGGATTTTCTCTTCCTATGCCACATCTCACAGCTGATACAATTTAACTCAAATATTCTCCAGGGATTTGCCTTTCAAGAGGTGCCTATTTCAGTTCCAATGCTGAGGAAGAGCTGGGGGCAGAACCAAACTGAAGCCACTCTGGGAACCCAACTGCTTTGGCTGATGATTATGAAGATGAGGGTATAATTTATTATATACCATGGCTTCAGATGCCACAGATCAAAGATGTTTAGCTCACATGAAAGAGCTAATTTCTCCCTCATACATATTTTAGCTAAACTGTTTGAACCCTGCAGTTTCATGTGAAGAGTACCTGAGATAATACAAATTACCAGCCTGGAAAATAAATGGGATGCTCATTTGCCTTGACCAATCTTGAGCAATACCATGCACACAAGGAAGCAAGGTGCAGTGAGGATAAGGCAGTCACTCTGGGTCATGTGCAGATCCACTGCAAATAAATTCACACAGGCAAAGCACTTCCTGCAAGGTCAAGAGAACTAAGGCCAGATTTATAGATGTTACATGGAGGCAGAGTACACTCTACCAAATCCAAAACCTTTAGAAAGGGATCAATACAGAGACTGTGGCCAAACTGCTCTTAAGCAGATTTGGTGAAAACCAGTTCAGTTCATTTTCAGTCTACTTGACTGGGGAGAATAGGAGGAAGGTCTGGTTTGTGGGTGGGATCAATATCCCTAAAATGATAATAGAAGTCACCAGAAATGTGTGAGATTTCTAGACCATGTTCTTCAGGGGCATCTTTATATACTGTGGCATATTCTTGCCATTTTAATTTGTGCACAGTGAAATTCCCTGCTAATCAAGCTACTATAAGGTACAAACTTTCTTTTCAATGAAATGGTACAACCACCTGCCCCTGACTGGGCAGAGCCTAGAGGCCTCCCACACACCACTCATGAGATCCCTGTCCACCAGGGTCTGGGAGCCACGTGCATTAATCCATTCCCATCCACACATACCACCCCTCCCCCCACCCCAGCACACACACTCCTGGACCTAGGCTACTTCTGAACAGGGTGCATCTTACTCACCTGCATTTTCCCTAAGATATTACTCAACATCATGCAGTAAATCCTTGCTAAGTTGCATCAAATGTAAGTAAGCTGTTCCAGCTTTATTAACATCTCTGTAGAACCTGTGAAATTCCCATAACTGTTACTGGTGTGTATAACTACAGGTGGGTGTACATTTATACACACATTCTAAATCACTTTCATCCCGAACAGTGCAATTCTTTGATAAATTGGTCTGACATTTGGTGTAAAGTCCTGCAGGCCTTAGACAAAATGACTTAGAAAATAACAATGTCAGTTGCTCTCCTCTTTCAATAAATAACCCACCAGTAAAACACAGATAATAACTGACAATCATATTTGTACTGTAACTAATGAGAACAGATAAAGCAGCAAATGGACTGTTTATATGCATTTGATAAATTGCATCCCCTGGATATACCAATGAAAAACAAATGTGTGTGGTACTGGTTCACTGAACAAAAACAAATATCTACCGCTGAGATTTAGGATTCAGGAGAAAATTTACATTTTATTTGGCAACTATTTTGATTCCATGTCTACATACAGTTGAAAAGTCAAAAACCTACCTCAACTTCCTGAGTACGAAAGCATTATAAATGAGAAAAAAATAAAAGAATCAAATCAAACAATAGGAAAAAATGTATACATTTTTAATAATTCCATCTAATGTTAAATTCTCATACCATTAGAAAGACCATACCCAGATATTGTCTCTTAAGTCACCTACCATCATTCCTTTGAAAAGATCCCAACATCCATGGAGTTTATGGGGAAAGATTTGAGGTCCAGAAAAACAGAATTAGGAGAAATCTGAGTATGCTCAAGGATTTATGCACTACTGCACAACAGTTAGCAAAATTGTGATGAAATCGAAACACTTGGCCATCATTACCATCTGTGGGAATTTCAAATGTGTAATTGCATGTGACATCAGACCAGGCAATATTCAATAAAAATTCCAAGATGATATCAAAGACCGAGAGTAACAGACCTTCTATATTTCTGGAAAAGAAATCATTTGGCCTTGTTGTTGCAAAATAGCTTGAGAAGCTTCAAACCTAAGAAATACATGGATTTATAGTCTTAGGAAATATGTAAAATGAATTGAATTAGTATAGCCCTCCAGCTAATCAAAGAATTATAATCACCATACATGTCTCTCCATTTTTGGAGACTTTCTATCTGTAAATCCACCCAACCTGGGGTGGAAAGCAGTGACCCACCAAGTTGTTCTTTTCCCACAAAGAGAAAAAATGAGTCTGAGGTTCCTTCTTAAACTATACTCTGAATTTGGGTTTTTCTTCAGGGAATCTGGATATATAATGTTCTATTTGTACTATGATCAAAGCAGAGGGTATCTCCCCAGACTCAAAACCATTGACTTCATTAGTAAAGTCATCAAGTTGTCTGAACTAACCAAGAGACACTTTCACAATATCTAAGGAGAGAATAAGCCAATACCATGGAATTAAAGGTAAGAGAGATGCTATACACAGGGCAGGGTTTGAAGCAGACATGGGTTCACATTCCAGTTCTGGCAGTTACCAGCTACGTGGCCTTGCACAACCCACTTGGCTTCTCTAAATAACCTTCTTTATCCCTAAAAACAAGACCACTTGAACCTGCCACGAAGGATGATCACTGACTTGTGACACTGATGCAAAGTATTTAACATGTTATCCGCCACACAGAGTCATTAAAAGACACACACTTTCATGCATACCTCCTGAGGCTAATAGTAGTTGGATGTCCCAGGTACACAGACAGAAATGGTAGGCTTTGTGGAAACAATATAAATAACCTCAATTAATGCCATATTATAACCTCAATTATAGGCCATAACATGAGTTAAGATGAATAATATCAACAAGAATGAAAAATGGGATAGGGGAAGATGGAGGAGGAAGGAGGGAAGGGAGGAAGGGGAAGGGAATTATAAAAAATAAAGAAATAAGCTGTGGTATGTGCATGTAATCATTCCTCAGGAAGAGTGTAAACTGCATAAACTGCAAACCTTTTTACTAATAAAATAAAAAATAAATTTAGAAAATTATAAAATTTCAGAGTGATTTCTTGTATATTTAATTTTACCAATTAAAACCAAGTGAAAACCCAACTGCAACTGAGAAAAATAATTATGAAATATTTTAAGTGTGTATAATTATTAATCTCATGTAACCTCATATATGAAGAGTGCTTTAGAAAAAAACTCAGTAAAACTTAAAAAGTTGAGTTGCAGTCATAAAACTATTTAAAGGCCAGATTCATACTCTGTAAGGTTCAGTGACCCCCATCTATTAAATAAAACACATTTATTAAAAAGAGATAATACCTATACCAAAGGGATGTTCTGGTCATCAAAGTGTGGTTTCTGAACCATTGTAAGGTATTACATATCACATAAACACACAAATTAAAGTTTCAATTATGATTCACTGTGTCCTGATAAGGTGACTGGGCCTGAACAGGCAACATTTTTGTGTAATCATCAGTTTGCACATAAGAAACATATGGAGGAACCCTGAAAAGGTCTGCCTCATTGGCGCACCAAACAAGGTCCTTGTAGTCTTAGGGCATCTAAAGTTTTATTTTCCAGTAAGAAAAAATTACACTGGCCTGACGGACAGTCTTGTCCAAATATCACAAATTCCAAATTAATTAGGCCCTACCATCTTTCTGAGAGCGGCCTCCTCTCCCCAGAGCCTAGTGGCAGGTCTCCATGAACATACAACTGCTACCTTTTAGAGAAAAGACTACCCACAAGGACTGAGCCCCTTTCCCCCTGACACCTGACCCGTCAGAGAGGTGCCAGCTTGACAGACTGGTGAAGGTCATGGTTCCCATCCTTGGATGAACATGGGACTCAGGGGATTTCCAATCACTGATGCAGGAGATGCAGACATGGGGGGCTGCATCTAAATCATGGGCATGGCCCCCACTTTGGGATTTTGTGTACACTTTCCAAGTGATTCCAATGCATAGTTCCCAGTGTGGAAGGTCACACACTAACTCTACACACTAACGCTACAAGCAGCATGCCAGGTAAAGAACACCAGACAGTCTCTTCCCCAACTGCTGGAGCTTTCCATAGTCATCTCCGTTTTCTACCCACACAGTCCAGCTGAGGTGTTCCCAGCTTAGTACATAAGACCTCTGCTCATCCAGCTGCCCAGGCAAGACCCAGGTCACAGCATGGACTCTTCTCTCTCCCTTCCCTTGGTCAAGTTCTCTCCACTCTCACCCCCAGACGTCTCTCACATCACCCCACTTCTCTATAACTCAGCTTTCTTTCAACTCAGGCCCCCAGTTCATCCTGCATGACTGCCATGTGCCCTGACCAGCCTTTCAGCTTCCCTGGGCCCTTTCCTAGCCCCTTCTCCACCCTGTCCCTGCAGTGACCTTACAAAGGACTTACTGTTCACACCACTCCCCTGCTTAAAACACTGGAGTGGCTCCCAAGCTCAAACCAAGCCCTGCTTACAGGACCTCCAAGGCCTAGGCCCTGGGAAACTACAGCCCAGCTCATAGCTTTCCCTCCAGCTGTAAATGATGTCACTGGGGGCCTTCAGTAGTCCACTGTTTCCTTACCTCCAAAACTCTGCCCCTGCTGGCCCTTCTCTGCTTGAAACACACTTCCATGGCTTTCATTGGTTACCATGGACTGCTCTACCCAACCCCAGTTTAGACACTGCTTCTTTAGGAAGCCTTCCCTGCCCCTAATCACTCTATATCCAACTATGTGATCTGCAGCACCCCTGGCACTGGCACCCCCAGCTTCCCACACCACAGCAGCTGATTACTCAGCAATTCAGACACAGAGAGGGCAGCCAGGGGCAAGGGTTGGAAGCCTGAAGGTAGGACCTCTAGCCTAGAGCACTGTCTGTTTTCAACAGAGATGTGATAAACATCTACTGAATGAGAAGAGACAATAATTCTATTTCTGCTTTTGGCTTTTCATATATGTATCTGGGTAGCAACTCCCAAACTTCTTCCCCTTAGACTCAACCTGCAGGCTCTGTGACTAGAACCTTCCCGGGAAGGTGAAATGGGCAGCTCCCTAATCGCGATGCCAGCTTGGGAAGTGTCAGGAACCTGGGACCAGGAGGGATGATGTTGGAAGGCCTCAGAGGGATGGGCCTGGTTACACAGGAGAAGTACTGGAGGAACTTCTGTCCGATGCATTTACCCCACATCTCCTACTGCCGAGTCACCCCATAAACAAGCAGACTTCACGGCTGAAGCTTTCCATAACTTGGATAACCACAGCCAGGTGGAAATCTAATGTGAGTCTCAGGACTTGAATCAAACTGAGGTGCCAGCTAAAATGCTGAAACCAAATTTAAAAGTAAAGGTAATAGTAATACTAATAATTGTTACAATAATAATGGGAACTACCACTTTTTGAGTGGCTAGGATGTGTTCGCCACTGTGCAAACCTGACCAAGTTTTATTCTATTTAACCATTGCAGGGTCCATCTGGGACAGACACAAGTTACCATCCCTACATGATAGTTGGGGAAACTGAGGCTTAGAGAGACAAATGTTCAACACAAGCTCACACATCTAGTGAGAAGCCAAACCAGGATTCGAACTCAGTTTTGTTTACTTCAAACATCATGCTTTCAGCACTAGGCATCCTTAGCAGAACCACAAAAAGGGAAGGGAAATCTGCAAAAACTGGAGACCCTGGAGAGAGGCATGGGCTGGCTACGCTGTGGACATGGGTCATGTGCTTGCAGGAGACACTGAGGGAGAAGAGATGAGCACACAAATCAGAGTCCTCCCAAAAGACTCTCACTACCCCTTTTGAAATCCTTGGTGTGTCTGAACTTTGATGTACCTCAGCGTTCCCATCTGTGAAATGCAAGAAGGAAAATGCTTGGCTCACAAAGTCTCCGAGAAATTGGACAGCAAGTCCATCTGTCACTGTGGTCCCAGGAAAGCAGGCAGGATGCCCTGACTTCCTGATCCATACCTGCACCTACTGAGATGGCTCCCTGGACAGAATGCTAGCCGCCAGCCTCAACAGCAGGTGCACAGGAGTCGCTTCCTCTCATAAGCGCTGGGCAGACGCTCACACCTGTCTGCACCAGCAGTCCCAGGAGCCCAGTTCAAAGCGGCACATCCAATCCAGCATCAAAGCACTGCACAGAGGACGTGGCAGCCTGGCAGCAGCCTTCTCTCTGAAAACCTGCAGCCATAGGCTCTGCATGAAATTTTCATCAGCTGCACAGTTCAGCTGCTATAGTTCCTCTCAGCCCTGCCATTCAGCCTGTTCTCTTTCCAGGAACATCTGGGAGGGACAGCAATAAAGACTTCCTTCCCTGTGTCTGTACAACTGCCCAATCCTACCCTGCCAGTGATTCTGTGCATCCTCACACCTCAGCCTTTGACCATTTCCCCAGAAGATAATTCCCACCAAAGACTCAAAAATATATCAAGATTTTCTATTCACTACAAGCTCATGGTCTCATAGTCAGGATTTGAGAGTTCTTGAGTGTAATTAGTAATTTCTGAGTTGACATTTCCCCATGGTATAAGGCACCCGGAGTAAGAAGAATGCCAAAGCAGTCTC